TCCTACAACCCCTGGGCTGGATAAGGGGAGAGGGCAGTCAGGAAGAGAACCCAGCTAGCTCCTCATCTGGGACTGTTTCAAGTTGGCAGCTTCTGGGTCCCCTTGCCCAGGGTATACCCTTAGGGCAGCTGGGTGAAGAGGAAGATTCATCTGGTGTCTGAGGAGGTACACCAGAGAGCTGGAATGCTTTTAAAGAATAGACTATTTTGTCCACATCTGTACATAGTTGCTAAGGAGTTTGTCCTCAAGTTTGCAGTTTCTTTGGGCATCCCATACACTCTTCAACCTCATCCAAGGTATTAACCCTTAATAAAATCACAAAACCAAGCTCAAGGACTGTTTACTGATGCTGCTGAGTGCAAAGTGTAGTGTTGCTTGGCTATGCAGAGTTTTAGGTGGGCCCAAAAACTCAGTGACTCCTAAGGAGGTAGTGCTACAGTAACAAACATGTTATACTTACCTGCTCTGTGCAATGGTATTGCACACAGCCACCTTGAACCACCTATTCTGGGCCACCATGGCTCTCTATAGCCATCACAGGAAGCCACTTCCTATGGGAGCATGTCTGCAGGCTCACTTCCAAGCTGGGTTGTATGTGTCCACACATAGACACACACAGCATGGCTCAGCCCCGGCCCTTGCTCCCTTCCCACTGGATTTGATTGACAGTAGCAGAGCCCAGTACTCCTGCTGCTGCTTTCATGTCTTGTGAGGAGAGAGAGAGGAGAGCACCACTGCAGACGGGCACACAAAGAACTGGATCGATTAGGACTCAAGTAAGTATTTGAAAAGGTGGAGTGGGGGTGGGGCAGGGCAATACAACACCGAAAACAAGATAATTACTACAATCAAGGACTGTGTGTGGTCTCTTCCTGATTGGGTACCTTAGTCCTAGGCCATGCCTACATTGGTCTATGCAGTGAATGTCAGCATGGCTGCTTGTAGTCTACATCAGGGGCCCATTTGACAAGGGAGAACACAGTTGGTAGAGAGTTGTGACCCCATAACAGGAACAGGACCTTTATGTCAGGATTTCCAGGTATTATTTTACAGAAAGCTCCTTATTTAAAAAATTTAAAACAGTTTTTTGTAATTACATTACCATGATAAAACTTTTATGATACGTTAGTGGGCTTCTTCTTTAAAAAATAAAATATTTTAAAATGTGTAATGCTGTACTAAAACTGATGGTGGGATGGCACTAACAAATTTCTGTAACTTGGTAAAACCGTGTATGGATCCAAAGGCTTGTAGGTTGACAGGCAAATATACAACCTGAAATTCCAAAAATAAAGTGAACAGAATTTTCCAGGTGCTGCTAATCATTTACATTTAGACAGTCTAGGCAAATACATGAGTAATATGTGCATACAAAGTTTAGCAAAAAACATACAGGTCAGTGACCCCCTTGGTTCACTAGGACTCCTATTCCCATTTAACAGTTCTACTGTCTTAATTGGGGAAAGACATTGATTGGCTCAATCCAGTACTACTACCTGGGTGCCATTGTCAAAGATGCAGATCCAGCTGTAGCCAAGTGCATACTTCTAAATGTTTTAAAGAAATGCATTGCCAATCCCCTCACTATCAGTGGCCCAATGCTGCATGTCTGCCCCTAAAGCAGAGAGGGTTAGGAGGCAAAAATCCCTTACACAGGAGTGCCATAAGGGTAAGTGCGTCTTTCAAATGCACTAAAAGAGAATGGCTGACTAAGTTTACAAATGTTCTATGTAAACTGCAATTCAGCCTGGTCAGGGCTTATACTGGTCTAAGGACCATCTTCCAATCCCCACATAAAAGCCCATAGGCCTGATGATTGGCTGCTAAGGAACCAGCGGTGTAGCATGGAAGGATGGAGATAAAATCACATGCTCCCTTATTTCCATGGAAGTACCATTATCTCACTATGTTTTCGTGGGTGAATGGCCCAATGGTATGTAGCACTACAACCCCCCCCCCCCCAAAGGAGCCACTTGTATGTTTTCCCAGGCTTCTCCTTGCTTCACCCCACAGCTAGGCACACACCCTCTTTGGCTTGTTCTATTCAATGACCAGTCTAGGGGATGTTTTGTTTTTGGAGTTTTATTGTAGAGATGGGGATAGGGATGGGGAATTGTAGTAGGATACTCCAAAATTAGAACTAGTCATACTGAGGACATCTAGCTGATCTCTTAATTGAACACTGTAGAAGTCTGGACAGAAAGCGATAACAGACTTCTCTTTAAAAATGCAGCAGCAGGTAGTTTAGGAATGAGCAAAGTCCCTTTTTGTAGTAGTTGTAGTTACAGGGCTGAGCTCCTCAGGTACAGGCACATTACAGCAGACTATGACAGTCTAGAAGTAATAGCAATTGAGCAAAGTCCTTTGCAGTAGCATCAATTGGACAAGCACTTCAGAACACTAGGGAAGTGACGTCAGACGCATACGAGAAACCGGAAGTGGAGCGGTGGCCATCTTGGAGAGGGGAAAATTAGCTGTTACTAGTGATTAAGACTCTCCTGGATCCTGGATGGCAGAAAGGTTTTTTTTATACACGTTTATGCGATTGAAAGATGTATCTAATGTAAGCAGTACTATTAAAATTTTGGATTTTAGTGTGTGGCAGTATTACACTATTATTTGTTCCTTATATATGGGTATCTGGATGGCGTATATGGTGGAAACATATCTGAAGTGCTAGTGTGGAAGGATCCATATAGTACTATGGGATCAAAGTAAACCTTGAGGATATCTGCAGGAAAACTTATTTCATCGTGCAATTTTTGGGGATTGATATTAAAGCAAAAGTTATTTGGAATATTGGTAAGGGTATCCACTCCTTACTTTAGAAGAAGTGTACACTGTGTTGTGAGTTTTTGAGCACAGAAGAGTGTTTCACATACACTGTTTTGCACTGGATATTGCATGTGTATGTGGTTTTATATATATATGTATACACTTGTTTCTCACTTGGGTGAATATTATTGGAGTGATTTCACATGTTATTTTTGATCTATAAAGGATAATGCACTATGTATATTTTTGTTTTTTGTTTTTGAGGTAATCAAGTTTTTGCGAGAGGCTGAGAGTCTTTACACTTGAATGAATTTTGGACAACACGTATTTATTTATTTTTGTATTTTTCAAGAGGGACATTGAATTTTTTTTTTTGGTTTTTGTTTTTTATATTTTTTTTTATTTTGGACTTTAATTGGAAATTGTTATGGTTATAATTTAAGGAAGGGTTTTTTATTATTTTTCACTGAGCATATTTATGATAATACTTCAGAACACTAGCCAGTTCCCTTTCTCAGACCCACCCTGACTATCAAGCATCAGTGTCTGTACTCACAAGTCGAGGGGCAGATGGTTGCCTCCTTCCAATCCTCCAAGTGACTCTCTCCAGTGACAGCTCTCCTCAGTCAGCTTATTGAAGAACCAGGTTCAACTTCAGGTCCTCAGGTTGACCCACCTGAGGCCACATGGCAGCAAATGCCAGGCAAGGGAGCCTACCTCCAGCCTGGTTTCGTGCAATCCACTCCTGGGAAAGACGCTGAACCCATGCGCTCCCAGAACATAAATATCACTCCCAGCATGCAGTGGGGCACCTTCCCCTGCAATTAGCCAGGGCTGCATCTATATTCATGCTGTTCATTTACCTATCTCCCTTCCAGGTTCTGGAAGGCTCTCATAGCTTCCTGAAGACTGGCGGAACTCAGACAAACCCAAACAACACCAGAACATCATGAGCAGACCTGACTAATCAGTCACATCACTCTGTGAAGCAGAATACCACACTGAATTTACCCGACAGCCTCTCTGGTAAGCAGAGAAACACAGCTATGCTTAACCTAACTATACACATCCTAGCACCCAACTAGGAGGGTCCTACAGGTAGATCACACAGGTAAGGGAAGTATAAGTAATGGGACTGATAAGGCTATTAAGTGAAACTGTTTTTGCTCTGAATGGGCACTTTATCTATTCCCTGACAAAGCTTTCAAATAAATCAGCAGTGGCTATTATTGTGATATTATATCTATTGTTTGCAAAGCAACGTAACAGAGACTTCAGTACACACAGTCCACTGATGAAATTGGCAACTAATTAAAATTAAAAGCCAGTTTTGGGTGAATACCTGTGGGTTGAAGCACCTGTTAGCTATATATCTCTGGAGAGGTAAGATTTTCCCACATTTGTATACAGCACAGATATGTTACAGATCCTTTCATTTGCATAAAGTTTCAAAGAGGTTGAAGTGCACTCCAATACACAGTACACACGGTGTACTCTAATTGTTTTTAGTGACAGCATCTCTTTAAACAGTGTGTTGGCCTGGAATAGCACAGCAATGTGTGGATCAGGGGCGGACTGACAACTCATGGGGCCCCCGGGCAATAGGTGATCATGGGGCTCCTGTATCCTTGCCCAAACTCAAAAAAGCCTATTAAAAATGTACCAGGGGCATCTCATGGGGCCCTCTACTGACCCCGGGCCCTCAAGCACTGCCCGAGTTTCCAAATGGTCAGTCCACCCCTGGTGTGGATTAAAAAGGCAACCCTGAGTAGATGGACTAGGTAGGTAGACTGTAACCCATGCATACATTTCAGAGCTAACAGTGGAATTGTCAATAGCAGGGTGTATAAAACATTAATACTATTCAAGAGGGAAATTTTAATGGTTTTGAGTACATTTTTTATCTTATGGGGGGAATTTATCAAAACTGGACTGTCATTTTCAAATCTTATTGGACTCAGCTGTAAATAACTGTCACTTTTTTGAAAATAGGTAGACTTCCACATGCGTTAGATTTGTGAACTGAGCCCATGATCAATATTATTATAAAAAAAACACACATACATGATAATTTATCACTTATTTATTATTTATTTTTATACACTTATTATTAAACTGGAACCCAGAATCAGGAGTAGTTGTGTGTGGCAACCAATCACATTGTTTCTTCAGCTTGTTCAGTTAAAGTGTTTCTAAACTCACAACAGTAAAATCAGTCTGTATATGCAGTAAAGCATGCTTGATATACTCACTGTGGAACCTAAGGGGTTAATCCTCTGCATTGTGTAAAAATGCTGTTTGATTCTGAAAGCTCTGATCCTCCTCTTCTTCTTCAACTGCCCCCTCTTATCTCCTGATAAGACATATCATGTGGAGACACTCTGCACATGCTCAGTTTGGTGTGTATTGTTTTTCTTGGGACAGTGCATGTGATCATAACAGGGCCATTCAGCGCTGTCCAGACAGAGGCCAGAGGTTCTGCATCCTCCTAGAGCAAAAGAAAACTCCTCCTACAAGGTTTAACCAGTGCTGTGCTGAACACTGATTGAAGTTGCAAGACTGCTCTAACTGCTGATGAGAAAAGGTATTCAGCAGTTTATATTTACTAATATAATTGCATTTACATGTTATGTGTACTGTGGGAGACCAGACAGAGTGAGTGCAGGGTCCTGAGTTTAGTAACACTTTAAGATTTAAAATAGAAAGATAGAAGCTGATTGGATGCCATGCACCACTGCTCCAGATTCTGGATGCTCCAGTTTTGATAAAATCCCCTCTAGGTTTTTAAAAACAGGACTCCTATAATATTGAAACACACACCTGAATAGGTATACTTATTTTCAAAAAAGTTACAGTTATTTACAGCGGAGTCCAAAAGGATTTAAAAATTTAAATTACAGCCATGTGGTTCATTAGAGAGTCTTATCCTTGTGTTAAATCTTTGTGAAGTTAGCATTGTGTATTTACATTTATGCAGGCCATAGACGGGTTGAAAATCGACCGATTTTTTTTCGGCTGAAAAAAAACAAATCGGCAGATTTTCGCACCGTTAATGGGTTAATTGGTCGGGCGTTTTTCAGGGTTTTGGCACATTTTTTTTATTAGTAAATTTGGTTTCCCGGCAATGATGGGCAAATCAGCCGATCGTTTTACCGATAAAAATTTGAGAAGAAGAGGAAGAAGAGGAAGAAGAATCCAGTCCGCTATTATATTTGACATGAAAAAGTCTTGCGGTTTCAACAATGTTTCTATATTGTATCCGAATAAAAACATCTGTATCCGAAATGGATACAAATAAATACATTGTTGCAACCGCAAGACTTTTTCATGTCAAAAATATAATAGAGGGACAGAAGTAATTAAATGCGGGCCGTAGACGGGACGAAAATCGGCCGATTTTTTTTTTACCATTGGTGGTAATGTCGGCCTATTGAATGACCGATTTAAAAAAAATTTTTTTTTTTTTTAAAACGGATGGTTTTCGACCTGACTTTTTCCATGAATTCTCTTAGCAATTATTTTACAGGGTAGGTTTTTCCCCAACCCCTACCGTGCAGGAGATCCCATGTGGCCAGGGATGAAACAATGACAACTTAGACAGAAGCCAATTAACCTACCAGCATGTCTTTGGAGTGGGAGAAAACTGGAGTACCCGGAGGAAACCCACACAAGCACAGGGAGACCATGCAAACTCCATGCAGGAGGTGCAATGGTTGGGAATTGAACCCATGACCCACTTACTGCATGGCAGATTTGCTAACCACTAAGCCACTCTGATTGATATAGATATATATATATATATATATATATATATACACACACACACCATAGTCTATTGCATTTAACTGACTGCTAATGTTTGGTGCATAGCACAATCTGGTTTTGCCCACCATGCATGGGTATCACAATGCAATAGTGCACTGAGCTAGCACACTATGCTAATAACTTAGCAAACATTTCTGCCTTTACTTTCTGCCTTTACTTGCCATATTCACATTACCTTGTAATTTAGTATTATCTTACTGAATCCTGATCATATTTTATATTCATATTCAAGAGATTTTATTGAATCTCTGGCATCGTTTCAGGTTTGGCTGGGCTATCTGCATTGCCCACTGCTGTGTTTGATCATCAAAGTCTTCATTATTGTATAAGAGAGGTTACATACTATAAGCCTTTGGGGACTGTAAAGTATTGGTTGCTCTTTCTTGGAGACTCCTGTGATTACAATACTCTGCCAGGTGCTGGTGTGAGATGCACATTGTTCATAGTTCTTCTGCTTTTTTATGTCAAGACTATACAGTTTATAGATAACAGGCTGTCTCTTTGAAGTTGTGGTCAAAGCAAAAGTCCAGCCTTGCCGAAAGCATGCGGGTAATTGGTTTGAATCCATAGAACAGAAAAGAGTGATGTCATAATCTGTATACTCCCTGTCTGGATCAAAGGTTTCACTGTCTGTACTGTACTGTGTACATAAAATAAAGATATGGAGAGCTATTGATTTAGGCATAAATGATGGCTGTTAAATTTTTGAGTTTGCAGATAAATTAAGACCACCATTAGGGATTGATTTCAGAGTCTTTTTGGACTGGAGCAAGAATAGGGCACATTAAGATCTCACAAGGTGAACAACAGAATGTTTTGGTGTACTTCTTTTCTAGTTATTCTTTAACAAATCTAGTGTGTGGTGTGCATTTCTTTTCTGAGTTTACTGTTCACTGTACACTATTGATCCTCATGTTTCTGCCCTGCATATTGGGAAGTAGTATCTGCCTGAAAAAGATCACATTTCACTTTATGTTTCAATATTTTTATTGAGTTTTTCAAGGATAAACAGGGAAAAACAGGTTAAAGAGATAAGGTTCAATCATACAACATTACAGTAGACAAATATGTTTGATCACTTTGTTGTAGATCTGTCCTCTGGACAGATGGGGTATTGGTCTTGTTTAGCAATATCATTAGAGGTATTCGTGTGCCTTTGAAGGGCCTTGGTGAGGAGGAGTTAGGGTAATTAGGGGGGAATGTTGGTGGAGAGGTGGGGGAGGGTAGGATTGGGGAGGGAGGAATATAACTTGGGAATTGAGTAGATACCAGTCTTGGTGCGGGGTGTGAGTTCATTTCCTGAGATGTCATCAAGGTTGTATATTACATTTTGGGTGGTTTAGCCATCGGGTCCACTGGAGATTGAGGTAGGAGGAAGTGTTGATTGCGGATAGTTTTTTCTATTTGACATTGGGTGTTAAGGTCTGTAATTAATGAGGTGATTGAGGGGGGGTATTGTTTGTGTTCCATAGTCTAGTAATATTAATTTTTGCGGCAAAGAGTATGTGGGTAATAATTATTCGGGAGCGTGGAGGGAGTTTCACGATTCCAATGTGTAGGAGTGCTAATGAGGGGTTCGGGACTAACGGAAATTTGTGTATTTCAGAGATTAACTGGAATGTAGTATTCCAGAAGGAACAAAGTGATTTGCATGACCACAAAATGTGGATTGTTGAGCCTGGATCATTACAGAGTCTCCAGCATGTAGAGGACTGTTTCGGGTAGTAGATGGAAAGTTTGACCGGGGTCAGGTACCATTGGTGGAGTATTTTTAAGTATGATTCCCAGTGGGAGCTACATTGGGTAGCTTTATAAGTGATGCTGAAGATATTTTCCCAACACTTTAAAGTTATTTGGGCTGAAAGGATTTTTTCCCAAATGGTTAGGGAGGTTGTTTGTAGAGTAAATTGTGAGTTTGTGAGGTGCGTGTAGAAAGTGGATATACCTTTACCCGGGTACTGGGGTTTGGTGAAGAAGGTGTAGGCTGTAGTTGGTATTATAGTATTGTGGGGTAACTTAGTTGTTCGTATACAATGAGCGATTCTGAGGTATGTAAAATTTTCAGCAGTAGGAATATTGTATTTGGATTGAAGAGTTTGGAAGGGATACAAAGATTGATTGGTGTAGAGGTCCCTTATGTTGGTTATTCCTTGTTTTGTCCATTGCGATAGATCCAGTGAGGGGATGAGGAGGTGTAGTATGTTGGTTGGGGTAGGTATATGTTTAATGTCTTTGAATTTAGTGGATAGAAGGTCCCGCCAAGCTTGTAGGGAGGCTACAATGCAGGGATGATTTAGTTGGGGTTCTACACGTTTGAACGTTGGGATCAAGAGTATGTTTTGGGGTTTAAGTGGTTGAAATGGGAGGGTTTCCATTATGGACCAGATTTTTTCCTTCGAAGGATTCCACCAAAAATATAATTAGTCCAACAGGGTAGCTGTGTAATAAGATTTGAGGTGTGGGAGTCCTGCTCCTCCTTTGGTTGTAGGTCTAATTAAAAGATTGGTTGTACATCTCAGTTTTTTTTGAGTTCCATATGAATTTTGTAAGAATTGTGTGTAGCTTAGTGAAGAATGAATTAGGAACTGGTAAGGGAAGTGTACGGAATATGTACAAGATTTTGGGTAAAATATACATTTTTAGAGTTGCCACGCGGCCTAGTTTGGAGAGTTCTGAGGTGCGTAAAGTGTTTAGTTCTCGGGGTATAGTTTCAAGCAATATTTTGTGGTTTGCTGTGTATAGATGATCTGTCGCTGGTGTGAGTCTGATTCCAAGGTAAGGAATGCTGTTAGGTTCCCATGAAAATGGGAATTGTTTGGTTAGTTGGGTTTGGAGTTGGGTTGAGATGTGAAGGTTAAGTATGGAAGATTTGGGTTCATTAAGTTTATAGTATGAAACTGTTGAGTAAGTAAATAGGTGTGAGCAAATCGTTTAGAGGGATTTTTTAGGGTTAGTTACCATAAGTATTATATCGTCCGCAAATGGGCTGATTTTGTGTTCCATGTTAAGATGTGTAATTCCTGTGAATGTTCTATCCTCCTCTCTGAGTTTGGAAGCTAGGGGTTCAATAAGGAGTGTAAATATTATTGGGGAGAGTGGGCAGCCTTGTCTTGTACCATTTGATATGTCGAAGGGATCGGATAATGTACCATCTGTCAGAACTCTAGCGGATAGTTGAGAATATAGTGACAAGATAGCTTTCATCATCCAACCTGTGATTCCAAATTTTTGAAGTGTCAGTTGCATGAATTGCCAATGTATTCGGTCAATCGCTTTTTCTGCATCCAATGATAGGAGCAAGGAGGGGCTCTTAGTGCTTTCTAAATTGTGCAGGAGGGAAATAATTCTAGTAGCATCGGGTACTTGTCGACCTGGAATGAAACCTACTTGATCTGGGTGTATTAGGATGGGTAGGTAGGGGAGAATTGTTCTGGATATAATTTTTGCGTAGAGTTTTATGCCGGTATTGAGTAGTGAAATTGGCCTGTAGTTCTGAACTAGTTGGGGGTCTTTGCCAGGTTTTGGTATAGTCGTTATGATAGATTGCAACATGTCTTTGGGAAATGAGCCTGTGGTGGCAGCATGG